CACAATTGTGTAATTGTGCAAACAGCCGTAAGTTGGACTGGTTGCTGAGCATCCAAACTGCAGTCATGAGACCAGGGGGAAAACCCAGATATCATAATTTTGAAACCGGGTTGTAAGTAGCTTTAGGAGAGTCCGTCGTAAGTTGGAACAGTTGGTTATAAGTTAAGGACCACCTGTGTCCATCCAGAACCACAGTATATAAAATTTACTGCTGATTTGAGACCCACAGGGGAAAAAATCCCCCTCAAAAGTAACATTCCTGTCTTCCATGATTCCTGAAAACCACCCTTATAAAAATTGATATTCCAATTTCCCCCCTGTTTTGATTCTTTCAAAAGGGTGTTTCTTTTGCCCAGGCTTAGATTTCAAAACACTTAAGAGGAAATCTTGGATCGAGCCCTGAAATCTGAAAACTGGTTTTAAGAGGTGGGCAGCTGAGAAAAATGATCTCCGGATTTGCTGAGCACGGTATCACCGGAGTCTGTTTTTGGAAAAAATAGACTTTTTTCCAGAGAGTTGCTTCTGTCTCTGCCTTGCAAGAGGGACAATAACGCCTTTCATTCATCTCCAGAAATCATAATAAATGAGGTCATTGGAGCAAAGCTGCTCAGGCCAGCTTAGGAAAGAGATCAGCTGTCAACAGGAATGGGCAGGGTGATCGAAGAAATGAAAATATGACACTCCAGTCCTAGTGCGAAGCCCCCCCAGAAGACCCTTCAACTTACATTCATAATTAGGAACAGAATTTCCACTGTTAAGCAAGGCAGTCTGCAAGTGAGTTGCACCGATTTTTTTATTCCAAATAATACCTTATCAATCCCAAAAATAAACTTCAAACATTCTGCTAAAAGTACTCCTGTAAAGGTTACACAGAGATACCTGTTAATGCAGCCTCAAATAAGCAGAAATTAAAGAAAGCAGGCAGCAGTTTTACTGCAGCAGGAAATTCTTAGCTACCTAAAATACAAATTTACACCTGGTTGATAATGACCTCTGCTGGCCAATTCTAATAAAATAAATTCTTCTGCCCCCAAATATCTTCATTTCCCTGTCCAACACGATCTGTGCCACAGTATATTCAGGTTATCATTCCTATTTTTTTTACCTGCATATTTTAAAAACTAACATGCATCCTCTGAGTGTAAGTATTTCAGAGCTGCCTTGTGAGACCAACCTGTATTTTGCTCCTAACCAATACATAGGCAAGGTAAGGGCACACATCTCATTGGTTGCCCTCATTATAAAGATAGACTACTTGGTGCACGGGAGGCTCTTTTGAGCATAACAAGGCACCAAGGACCTCAATCGATGGGAATTAAGGGCCCAGATGAGTCCCAGCTGTAATCTTATCTTTATTTTTGTCAATTTTATTGTAATTTCTTTCTTGGATGGTTGCAAGGTACTCACAGTCGTTGCGATTTGGGCAACGTAGCAGTTCAATCAATTTATGATTAGTATTATCCTTCAAACACTTCATTTATTAATTGTTGGAAAACTTACTGAAGTTTCTCTGGGCTGTGACGGATAACCAGAGCTTCCTTCCTCAGCTGGGGTCTCCATGCTGGCGTTTAGAAACCTGGATGAGCAAAGGTGCAGAGATCTCCTAGTAAGCCAAGGTCCATTTTCCGTCTTCAAAGACTTCAAACGGTCTATGCCACCTGCCAGAAAATAAAAACCAGGTGTGTGCAGAGCAGATGTTGCAGGAGAACTGCAATAGTCTATGCTGGCAGAACAGGTCTACGCTGGTAGAACAGGGTTGCCCAACTTGGCAATTTAAAAAAAATGTATGGACTTCAACTCCCAGAATTCCTGTTCCACCCATAGACCTCTGGGAGTTGAAGTCCACATATCTTGGCAAGTTGGGAAACCCTGAGGTAGAACATCAGGAACACATACACACCCATACGCACGTATATAAAAATCTACCTATAGATGAGTTATATTTAGATGTTTCAATTTAAATTTAATTTCAATCAGAATAGAGCTGGAAGGGACCTTGGAGGTCTTCTAGTCCAGCCCCCTGATCAAGCAGGAGACTCTATACCATTTATATATAGATATATAAATAGCTACTGCTATATACATCTATCAATATAGATCTATATATTGATATATATATATATATATATATATATATATATATATAT